ACCTTCTTTTTTCAAATCGAGAAACAAATTAGATCTGATACATTCAGATTTTTGTGGCCCTATGTCAGTTCCTTCGTTTGGTGGCGCCAGATACTTATTGACCTTCATAGATGATTACACCAGAATGATGTTCGGCTACTTTATCAAGAATAAAGATGAAGTTTTGCCCGTTTTCAAATCGTTTAAAGAATTCGTGGAAAGCCAAACCCAATTGAAAATAAGGAAGCTGAGAACTATGGGCCGAAGTGAATACTTCAAAAGATCATTTCGACAATTTCTTAAAGATTATCAAATTGAGCATCAGACAGCTGTACAATATTCGCCACATTACGTTGGTGAAGCGGAGAGAGCCAATACTTATGTCATGGAATCAGCACGATGCATGATTTATGATGCAGGAATGGACGGACGTTATTGGGCAGAAGCAGTGAATACTGCAATCTACATTAAAAACAAATCACCGAACAAAATATTAAAAGGAGTTACACCTGAAGAAAAATGGACAGAGACTAAAATCAATTTATCCCATTTGCGAGTATTTGGATGCATTGCTTATGCAAACGTGTCTGAAGACAAACGAATGAGAGTCGATGTAGCAAAAAATAACAGATATGTATTTGTTGGTTATTGTGATGAGACGAAAAATTATCGTCTTATAGATCCTTGCAACCCTTCTGAATGCTTTAAGTCAAGAGACGTATTTTTCTTAGAGAATCAGATGTATAAGGATTTGTTTAATGACAGTCCTGAAACTCGACAATTTTAAGAATACAGTGTAAAAACCTCTAGCTGGAAAATTGAAATAGAATCAAAATACAAATAATGTCTTTATGATAAAAGAAACCAACTGAAAATGGCTGACGGGAAAAAGTAATTTTCTAATGACAGTATAAACCAAATCTCAAAGAGAAACAGCAACCAAGCTGAAAATTGACCGCTTGATTCACAATAAAAATGTGTAAAATAATATAAATGCATTATAGCACTAATATTTTGTATAATAATAGAAGACTAGTTAGTACAAGCCTTGATTTTAAGAAATTTTAAGCGATTATTTTAAGAATAATGTAATAAAAGTCTGTTGGGTAAGATTGAAGAAATGAAATTCTGAAGAGGACTGAAAGGCTGCGAAATCATTTTTTATGATATTGTATTTCTAAAATTTAAATATTTAATAAGTACCTATTAAAATTGTAGGTAAGCAAAGTGTTTACTCTGGCTCTGTATATATTTATGTAACTTGACAAATATGTATAATTTTTGACACACTGTACCTACATGTATTTAATATTATGTAATTTTCATTATGGTCGGAAATAATATTTCCCAACCAAACTTTATAAAATTAATTCAATTAAGTTAGTATAAATGTAAAAAGTTTATAAGTCAAATTATTTAATTCAATTAGACCCAATAAGGCACTAAGAAGTGAAATATATTCATGTAATTCTGTCACTTGCTTAGTTGAGCAAATTATTATTAGTTAATAAGCTAACCAACCTAACGTTTTTGTTTTATTCGTGTGGCTCAAGAATTTGGATTTAATTTTGGAATATTTGTACATATTGATAGTGTATGTATGAACTGCATACTTACTGGTGGTCTTAGTCAAAAATGATTACTGTTTCTACAATATAAGTTGCAAATGATATTAAATGCCAAAACTCGTAAGATTTAATTGTAAAAGTAGAAGTTAAGTAAGTGTCTATTTATACTTACACTTAAAATGTACTGATGTAAAAATAAAAATAAAATGTTTACAAAGAAACAATATTGTTTTATGACTTTCTAATATAAAATTTTGTTGCCTATTTTTACTTCTACTTACTAACATAAAAAACGATTGCTTTTTTCACGGCCCTCATCACACACCACGAGATGTTTATGCTGATAAACTAAAATTATTTTTTATGTGGCATAAAATTTTAACAAAGTCACTTTGATTAAAATATTGGACGATGTCTCGTGTGGCTGCAAAAGTAATTCACATTAACCAAGTAGTTGCTTTTTATATTTGGACATGTATAACTTATGTAGGTACTAAATTGATATTAGCTTTTTCAAGCGTGTCCAAACCTCGGTTACGAGGTACAAGCGCTGAAAAGAACTGGATGAGTTTTGTAAAAGTCTAAAACTCCTTTTTGCCCTATCCCGAGCGGGAGAAGTCATAAGATTTTCCTTGTCAAAAAGGGAGAACAGAGATAAAATAAAACACAATCGTATTGCAAGAACACTGATTTCTTTTCTTCTTGACCAATTTTTTATGTACATACAATATTATTTAGAAAAAAAAAACACAATTTCTCGTACAACAAATATTTAGCTTGATACAATTCCAGTCGACATCGATATGGTATAACATAGTTTGTTCTTGTGTCCAACTAAAACTAAGAATGGCAAGATCGTATTTACTTTATCTCAAGAGTGGTAGTATTAGTTCTAAATAAAATTCCTTAAATAACCCGAAAAAAGATCATGATGACTTATTATTATTTGAATGACCGTCCTTTACATTTTTTTTTAATTTGTTATTAGTGTTACTGATTTAAATACATAATTATGTGATTTGAAATATGGAATATCGTTGCTACTGATAATATTTCTTAGCAATCCGCCTCTTCTAAGCTGAAGTAAATTAGATGGTAGGCTAGTTTTTCGAAATTAAAAAAAAATGTGTCTTGGTTTACTAACGGACTAATTCGATTTGTAATTTTTGTGCCCTGTCATGCCTATTGTTGTCAAGAAAATAAATTTTATTGTAATTAGCTTTTACTCAATTTTTTTCTCAGGATAACTTTACTTTTAATTCTAGAGCCATCTATTTTTTTCCATACTATGTCATGCATTCATATAAAGGAATCTGAATCCACCATTTTTTGATAGAACTACTACCATTTGTCACCAACTGAATATCGTTAATAGAAAGAAGCACAAATTCTATTAAATTTTGGTTGGACACAATAACAAAGGAACAATTTACTTACATTATACAAAACACTGATTTAAAATTGTTTAAAAAATTGGGAATTACCTACCTACAATTAGACATCCATATTTTTTATTGATAGAGGCAAAGTAACACACGGGTATTATTACAACAACATTTTTTATCTTAATATTATTTTCTGCCACCATAATGAAAAAAGACACATCGAACATTTTATATAAAAGTAGCCGACCCAGCCACGCGTTGCTGTGGCTAAAGTTCTTGTCAAAATAATATTGTGACTATAAATTTAGATGTAAGCTATCCTATCTTTCAAGTTGGCTCAAAATGCAAACGGAATGCAAATCAAATTTAAATTCGGTTTAGTAGTTAAGGAGACCATCGCGGACAAACACGAAATTTATATATATTTATAAAGAAGAAGAAGACTAGAAATTTGATTTTAATATAATTTTTTTTATTATGATTATTTATTATTTCTTATAAGTGCAATATTGAAATCTGGCAAGTACCTTCTAATGTGACGTTCTTTGAGTTAATTAAGTTTATTCACACATCACTGGAACACAGCAAATTTTGTTAATTTAATCACTTTTTAACGCATTTTCATGTAATGTATTTCTATGTTATTTAAACAAAAAAACAAATATTATGTGTGCCCCTATAATAAAACCATAAAAAAGCATTTTGGTAGATAGATAGTATTTTCTGATTCCGAAATATCTTTTAAACTTCAATAAAGTGATAACTGTGTCTTTTTTCCTTATGATGGCTAGATTTTATTCTGGCTGTGATCATCCTGTGATTTATAATTTCGTAAGACATATTGAATTAATCCGATTTTACGGTTTACTAACGTAAAATTTTGACGAGGTGACTCGACTGATTTCAAGACTCGTTGGAGACGAAGGTGGATCATAACCATGAGTAGCATCGCAAAACAACGACACAACATGACCACAATTTATGAGTATGTGAGTAAACCGTAAAATGCAAAACTTTATCAAAAATAAAAAAAATATTTTATGTTTCCGTTAAATCCAATGTTTGCTATATTTTTTGTGCTACTGACAAGAAAGTAAATTACTTTTAACAAATTACCTCCATTAAGCCTTTAACTGCCGACAGAAAACTGTTGAAGGCAAATCCTCTAACGGAGGTCACCGGTGACCCCCATGGCGCTTAACGTGTTAAGTAAATAAAATATCGTATTATAATATATATTGAAGAGATTACTAACAAAAACTGTTCTTAGTCAATTATCACATTTATTGAAGCCAGAATATTTATTACCTATTTGGAAGGGGGCAATACAGACAAAGATCAATTCACACAAATCACAACAACTATTGTGCCTTTATAATGCGTTTAAATATATTCAATAAATAATACAATGCTTATTACAAAGAATATTAAACGAACGCCCAAATAACATCACGATAAATTTGCAAAATCTTAAAATATTTTGTGTAATTTATTAATCGGAATGTTGAACATATTATTACGGATACGTTCATCTCTATCTATTAAAAAAATAAAGCGAACTGTAATGAAATGTAACATAAATAATTATTATTATCACCAGAAAAATATCCAGGTAGAAGCCACTCCAAAATGACACTTGAGTAGCCACTTGATTTGCTTAAAAATGTTATCTAGATTTCACACTGATTATATGTACTATGCAGAGTGAAATAGAAGTTCTAAGAGGAACTAAAAAGAATAAATAGGTATCCTTGTCCTCCCAACCCGAACAAGGCGACCCGGAATTAGAAAGGGGAAAATGTATACGGGGTAATCTTTTCAGAACCTTTCAAAACCTTCTCAAAAAAGAAATGCAATTAGAAACGGTGACAGTCGTGCTTCACCAACACCCTGTCTAGAATTTGAATGTAAGAATAAAGTATTGTTCAAAAGAACTCCTCAGATATCTCAGTAATGATGAATAGAATACCTTGAATTGTAATTAGAGCAAAGGATTTTCAAGATGTTTTTCAAGTAATAATGGATTTAGAATCATATCCCGAATCCATAGTAAGTTTAATTGTAACGTAACGATAGCACTTCACTATTTTCGAAGAAGATAGTCATAAGTTTTAAACTGCTATCGAAGTAACAACAAACATCTCCATCTATATACAATATTATAAAAATACTTTCACGTCAGACAATTTGTATAACATCGAAAATACATTTAGACTGTCCATTTATATGTCAGTGATTGTATAAAAGTACATAGCATACGATTTGGTTTTAAGTGTAGTTCATTCACCAGACAAAGTTAAAGAAGATCGTATATATATGACAAAAAAGGATATATTCTGTGAACATCATCGTGGTTGGAATATATCGAAAAACATAATTATTAAATGGCTTATCGTTATACATTTCGCACAAAATATTTTCTTCACAAGAAGTTTTAATCACTAGTCATATTATACATCACACAAACCCACTCATGAATAAATTTTCATCGTGTATTATTATAACAACAAGTATATGAACCATATAAATTTCAATACTTTTATCTTATTTTATAGTCAGAAGTCCGACACACAATGTCGACGTACCAACCAGAGGACCAGCCCCTGAATTCATAAGAATACGAAGAAGTTTCCGAAGCGTCATTGATTGTAATACAATATTCGTTGGCGAGTCTTCGTCATCGCCGCTAACTAATCTATGCTAGCTGTTTCTAGAAAACGGAGAAAAGCGCGTCTTTACCTCGAGTACCCCACCGTATAACAACGGCCGCGCTTAGAGGAGGTACTCTCATTGGTCTGGCTTATCAAATGATGTATTTGGAGTGCTCTCTACTTTTTTCAGTACAATTTTGAATGCAAAAGTATGTTTTGGAGACACAGACGCTGGACGAGGAGTCTGAGGAGAACGTGGAGGAGGTTCAGGTGGCATCTCAGATCGAGTCCTCGTACGTCTAGGTGGTGGAAGATTCCGCATAACTGGAGCCGAAATTGGCTCTTTTTGTCTTTGTGGAGACAGTCTATTTGGAGTTAAATGTCCAGGTGATGGCTCAGGAGTAGCTGGTGGTAACATTAAAGGTGGAAGATTAGCACACGGCGATCCACGAGAGCCACGACGTTCCTTCAAACCCATCGGCGGTGGTGGCGACATAGGCGCCTCATCTTCCTCAGCCGCTGCAACTACAACCACTGGCTCAGTCCTTAAAAATGGAGGCTTCGGTTCAGAAGTATCTGACGCAATCGACCTTCTAAAATAGTTTAGTCCGTTTTCTATCTCAGCTAGAGCTCGCCTCACAAACGGGAAGCTCTCAGATAACTCTGAAGTGGACTTGCGGACTGGAAACTCTGTTTCACTGTCACGCTTTCTCGGCCTACAGCGCTCGAATGTAGGGTCTGCTGAAGCTCCCACCGTTTCAGACACTTGTCTTGTCAGAGCTGCGTGCTTTATAGAATCCGACTTTGATCGGGGCTCCCTTGTTTTTGGTGTAGGTGAGCGTCTATCACCGAACTTCTTACTAGCAGCACGCTTGATGGAGGAGAAAAGTCCGAGTTTCTCCGGAGGCTTGTCCGTTGGGGGTATAGGAATGGGTACCACAGGAGCTGAGGAAGGGCCAGGGGTAGGTTCGGGAGGAGGACGGGGGAGGTTCCCCTCGCGTTAGTTGTGCCGAGAGTCTGATGACGGAACATCGCTCGAGCCGGTGGAGGAGAGGGTGGTGTTGGATCCATAGGGATCGAGCGAAGACTGCACGGACATGGAGCGACCAGCGCGTCGGACTCGCGCTGGGGAGAGTTTGCCTGGATCTACGCTGGCCGGGTCTGCCTGCAACAACAGCGGTTTCAGCGCTCTATTCATTGCACTACTACTGAAGGCATAAATTTTTGCATAAAAAAGGACAGATAGAATATAATAAGGCATAAAAACGCAACATTTTGAAAAAAGACTTTAAAGACTTTAGATGAGACTTTTTTTTTAGATGTCAAGCATTTATAACACGAATTTCTTAAAATTTTGCTCAATAATATCTGAAAACATATTTTTGATGTTGAATCGAAGTCGAATCAGTGCATGCAATAATAAATATGTTGGAATATAAATTTTATGGTTTAATAAATCAATTTCATTTATTCCAGACTGAAAAAACTTCCCAATTAAAAAATATTCTATAAAATACTTCTGTAATTATGTGTATAGGTAATAAGTTGGTACATGTACCAGTTGTTATTTAAATAATTGACAGAATAAAAAACCCAATAAGACAATAGCAAGCAAAAGTTTAAAGAAATAGAAGAAATTTATTCTCTACTCTGCCAGACTAGGCACATAAGACCAATTTTGTATAAGTAACAAAAGATGTTTCGTAACAGCACCTGGTATGCCAGCGCGTTCATTATGATGGAGTATGGTACCAGGCCGAGGGGGTGAACTTCTCTCATCAGTACGTTAGCAGGGATCTTGTGGAACTGGATGTACTCCAAAAAGTTTCCAATCACTTCTTTTAGATTCATATTCTGGTTGGTATCGCAGTACTTTTTGCTCCACATTAAGGCAGCCTGAAATTAAAAAAAAACATAGTTTAAACATTGTGAGATATACTTACTTATTTTGTTGAAAAAAACAATTTTCTTAGAATTTCTTAGAATTTTAGAATTTGCTGAGAAAAGTTAAACCAGTTTCAAATCACGAAGGGATTCACGAGCAGCACTAAGACCACAGGTGTCGGCTGATAGCTTATCTCAGCTAATTCAACTTAGGTGTCATGATCATTTGTAGATTTAATAATTAATCTTGTATGTCTTTATAAATAATAATAAACTTAATGCTGTATTCAGTTTTAGGTTAGAAGCGCACCTATTTCTAGGGAAATACGCCAAAGTTACGGATATGTGGCTAAAACAACCTATAGGCGATACGGCGAGTGATATTTAAATTAACTAAAAATCGCGGGTTACTCACGTGTATAAGTTGAGAAAAGCTCTATTAGTTCGACGTCGCGCAGCCTACTGAGTAGGTCGCCGCGTCCGCGCACGCTGCTCATGAGGAAGAACCCCTCTGTGGTTCAAAACTACTAGAGCTTTTCTCTATTTATACACGTGAGTAACCCGCGAGTTTTAGTTAATTTCGTATGTCTCACGATAGTTATTATAAAAACGAATGATATTTATTCAATTAATAGGAAATTTCTGAATATTCTATATGTGTTAAGTATAATTGACTTTCTATAGAAGTGTGAATAAAAGGTAAATCAAGGGTCTATAAACTGGTGTGAAGTGTTTTGCCTGTACTGAATAATATAAAAGAGATGATCTTGACAGTGTGAACTGGCCACTGGGTTTTCAGCTCAATGATCAAGTCTGTGTTAGCCAGTAAGTAGTTATTTCTCTCACCAAAGTATCTAACGGATTATAGGCTTATTATAAACGTAGAATTAATTGTAAATTACTATATCCTAGGTGATCGTAACAAATTATTAAATAAAAAATAAAATCCTTAGTGCATAATTTAGGGCAGGCTCTTTTCTGTATGATGTCTTTACAAATATTATAATTTCAACTGAATCTTTGTTTGGATCTCAAGATGTATAACTCTCATTAAAACCTCTCGTTTCTGAATGTTTTTTATTAAAAATCATTTATTCCAATTAGACCCTTACAGGCACTTTTGACCGTCAGACAAAATTTTGAAGATATAGTGTCAGTCTGTCGATCCGTCCTCTTAGTGAAGCTATTTGCTCGTTCCAAAGTGTAGATTTTGATGAAGAAGAACAAGAACCTCCATGGTTGCTCTTTTTAAATCAGTTTCATATACAGATTCCTTATACAAACAGTTGGTTCAATTATGTGAGAACAGTGTAACACTAATATTTATTCAGAGAAATATAAAAAGAAAATAACCTTAAGAACAATACATAGTCCGGAGCTGACCAGTCCCAACTGACCGCGCCCGTTCACGAACATGACACGTACACCAGCATCGCCCAACTCGACCATATTATAGGGAATTGAGCGATCTAGCGCCCGTGCCACCGCCAGTATGACCTTTCAGTGAGTATGACAACTCGAAGCTGATATAAGGACCGATATTCTGCTAATCTAACCAATGTGAGGAATTCAAACCTTTTAAGTGCTTTTTTGAGGATTGTTCAGATTTGAACTGCTACCATAAGAAAATAATATGTATATGCCTCTGGGGCCTAGACGCTGGGCCAAATCGAATGCTGAACCGAAAATATCTGAATTAGTGTTAAACTTTTTTATTTTTCTAAAAAGCAACCAAATATTAAGTTTATTTTATTGCTGGCTTGTCTTACTTTAGAATAACCAAAGCCGAAATGTGGCAAATTATGCAATATCCCTAAAGCAATATCAATTGATTGCACGGTTGGCGCGGTGGCTGGGCAATTGGCTGCCGTGCGGCGTGTCGCGGGTTCGCACGGAACAACACTTTGTATGATCCACAAATTGTTGTTTCGGGTCTGGTTATCATGTGTATGTGAAATTGTATGTTTGTAAACGCACCCACGCCACAGGAGGAAATCCTAGTGTGGGACAACGTTTTTATTTAAAAAAATATAGGTATATTAAAAAGGATACGCAGGGCAAGGCAATGACACAACAAAAAGACATACCTGGAATTTTGTAAATTCATCAGCTCTCAGCTCATCTCGTGCCAGTATCAGCCTCACAACGTGTTGGGGCAGCAGAGTGAAAGATCCAAGATTAAGCACTTCATTACCATGCTCGTCCACAAATTCCAACACCTGAAAAATTTACAAAAGCAAACTATTACAATGTACCTTCATCAATAGACAGGTAATCGCTACAGGTGTGGAAGGTAATCGCTAAAACTATTTTTATGCCGAATTCCATTCAGACCCGTTTTGAAGTCTTTCGTAAATGGGAGAGTTTGGCACAAATGCATTGGCTCGACCAGAGTAATACCAAGGCCTCACCGACAACCGTCCTCAAATAATTGCCTCATACGGCATTTCACAACTACAGCGTAGGAGAGTCCGCAGGCCCAGTCCTTTCCACCCTCATTTCCCTTCTTAATCTCTAAATCTTCGAAACCCTTAACCCCAAAAGGCTGGCGTCGTTTTTATTTCTATCTTCTTTACTTTTTGTTTGACTGCGTAGTTGGAGCAATGGCCAGGCAACTGGCCACTATGCAATGATTCTCGCACAAAGCAGTTATTTGTGTGTTGCAATTATTTCTTCCCGAATGGATAATTTTTTTGTTAATCCATAAATGACGGCTCTCATGTACCCGCACATTATGTTATGTATGTCAAATTATACGTTTGGCCAAGTTTAAAAAAATTTAACAATTTTTTCGAAGAATTAATTCTCAGTATTCACGATAACGCAGATCATTTAATTTTACTGCCACGACTTGACAACTGACAGAAGCCGGGCAGCATGATTATTTTCCTCATTTTAAATTACACCCCAAAAAAAATTCTGATGTACATATTTTACTTTTAAATTAAACATTATAGAAAAACATTTGAACCTTCTGCACAAGTGACTTGGTACACTTGTACTGTATATATCTCTCAGCTGAGGCGAGCAGGGCGCACACGGTGTCTACAGTGATGCAGCATTGCACGAATCCGGCGCATGCACGCCGTAACTCGTCCAAGCCGTAGTAGTCAGCAGCATTCATTACTCCTGGAATTGGAAGAATATTTTGATAAACTACGTGTTATCAAGATTGGCGAGGTTTTCTTTATCAGTTATGGGCTTTCTCTTTCCCTATTATAAAACAAGTTAGGACACACAACCGAATAAACTGATGCGCTCGAGCATCAGTTTATATTTCAGTAAGTGTACGAAAATGAGTATCCTGAGTAGTCATTTTAATTTTTCATTTATGTTAATTATTATTACGTAAAATATTTTCGAGTATGAAAAAGATGTTAATAAATAACTGAAGCCCTTTTTTGGAGGCTTTTTTTTGTGATGGGAAATTTGACTGATTTTTCCGCCCTGGGGTAGGCGAGTGAAAAATATCATATTTTTTATATTACTCACTAACTGAAGCCTTTTTTGGACCTAATGGGCTAAAAAGCAAAGGCGTATTTTGTGCACTAAATTTAAAAAAATGCCAGGTGACACATTGTTACCTGGTTTTGTGCACGTAACTAATTAGGTACCGATGCAATGCTTTCATGAGTTACATGTACTTTTACAACTAAGTCTATTTAGACACCAATGAGGTACGATAAAAGAAAACATTGCGAGAAACCCTAGATTAATGAGTAAAAAATGTTAATGGAAATCACCAACACGCCTTGAGGAAGCTTAGTAATTTTACGCTTACTTAAACCTTCTCTTATGAGAAGAGAGGCCTTTGCTCAAAAGTTGACAAATTGATGACGAAAAATGGCCATTTTTTATTATATTTATATACTTACTTATCTTTTGAATATAAAATGTCGAAGTTGACGTACGAGTGTCAACAATAAATTCCTATGCATACAACTTACAATATTCTACCCACACATTTTCACTGAAAGAAAATACTCTTACCAATGAATTTTGAAATTTGAACGCTTAAATGTTAAGAGAACGACACTAAAAATACGTTGTACTACGCAAGTGTGGGCGACGAAGTTTTATTAGAAGCTATTTTTAAATCCTTGTTTTGTAATTCGAACGTGTCGTAGTAGGCGTAAATAAGTTGGTAATAATAATAAATAATTAAATTTTATTGAAAATATTGAACGGCTCACGGAAATAGGTTCTGGTATATAATAACAAAGAGATAATATTCATGACGAGCGTACGCGTCGCAGTGACATAATTATTTTTTTTTTTGAGTGGGAGTAGTGGATTCACATGTCTGTCACATGTCTACTCTCGCCCAGGGGGAGGTGAGTATCAGACTCTGATTGACTAAGAACCACCTCGTCGTTCCTTCTCCTGCTCCAAGCTAGGGCCGCGGTACCTAATTGCGCTCCTGTCAGGCCCCATCTGTGGTGGTCTATTGGTTTGAGGGTGTTCCTAATGCTACTTCCAAATGATAAAATAATTTATGTAATTCGTACCATAGCTTTTGTTTTGTACCATGTTAGCTTCTTAGCAATTTTGCGTAAATTAGATAACCGTATAATATTACAATACTATCGAGTTGAATTGTTGATAGAATTGAAAGGCAGCTGATTGTGTAACTTATACTACTAGTGAATTTCTTAACTCATTAAGTTAGGACTCATTAATTAGGATTGCCTAGAAAACGTCAAATGAAAATAAAACGCTTTTCTTTAGAGCCAATACTTCATAATCAAGTTATAAACCACGCGATCGTAACCATCATAATCAAATTACATCATTATAATAAAATAGAATGGAAAATACTTATTTGTAAAATATTTCAGTGCTAAGAATCTCTTAAGTATCCAATATTGAAAATAAAGTTGGAAACTCCGATCATTAAAGAGTGGATCCTTGTTTACGAGTTATGAAGAAAATTCGCGTGAAGTGAAAATTGTAATAACATTTTCTGTTCGTTGATGTATTGTAATACGAGCGAGTTCAAGTATTTAATATACTTTAAGTACGTACTTCAGTAAAGATTCTATACGGGTTGCGTGCAAATAAATATGAGGTTATCTCTTAAACCTACATATAACTAACCAAATCGCTATTTTTGTCATTCCTAAACGCTCGGAAACGGAATTTTAACTCTAGTGTCGCAGTGTTCCGCGACCTCTTCGGCCCAGAGCAGGAGAAGGAACAGGGGGGTTTTTAGTCAGTAAGAGTCTGACACTCCCTCCCGCCCGGCCCTGGGCGGAAAAAGTCATTTGATGATTTTCACCTCACAACAAAAAAAAATATTGTAATTGAATCTTATTAGGGCCTCAAAGTTTGTTCTATATGATAGACACATCATAACAGATTTTTATTGATTATTTTTATTGTTTTTTGTAAATAATAAGTTAAATGACATATTTTTCAGTTGTTCAATGACATATTGAACAGACGGACTAAATAGATTTTTATGTTTCAAACCATACACTCTCATCGAACCTAATAGAATAGGAATCTACCATTAACGATTTACAACTGGTACACCATAAAATTAACGTAAATTAAATAGATACTATTTATAGCAGTAAGTAATATTATTTAAAAGCAATGTCTTGTAATATGGTAAACAAAGCAAACACCATAGCGAAACGGAGAAAAAATAGAAGCGTGGGTGTTTTACATTCAAGAACTTTAAATATAGAGTGATGGTGAGTGGAATTCAGAACTTTGCTATTAAAACATAGCATTTATGTTCTAAACCATGAAAAAAATTTCGTCATTAGTTTCAATATTAACATTTTAATCGTGGTAATCCGAAACACAATAGATAAACAATAGGTTCTCTTTTTTGTGAAGAGAAAAAAATGATCAAATGACTTTTCCTGCTTTTTTTTGTCAGGGGAAAATCATAAAATGACTTCTCCCGGCCAGGGTAAGGCGAGAGAGTGTCAGACTCTTACTGACTAAACCCTCCCGCTCCTTCTCCTACTCTAGGCCAAGGCCGCGGTGCCTTATTATGCTTGCCCCATAACCTCGACTGAACAATAGGTGCGCGAAAGACGGCGTTCGCTAGGGAAATTAATAATGAAATTAATACAGGTTTATATTGTGATATTATTTTCAATTTAAATTTAATTTAATTTATAATTTACAAAAGTGAGAGTTTGAAACCTAAGAAATACTAATACGATTTTAAATGCACGTAATTTCTATGTGTCTTAAGACCCTATTGACAAACGGCCAAGAAAAACATCGGGAGGAAACCTGATATATAGATATAATTTCTATTTTGTGCAAGCGTGGTGATTAAGGCTCACACTTCTCTTTGTGCGAAGAGTTCTTTACTTAGGATTTGGGACTTATAGGCTAATAAGAACATTTTTCGACTTTACCAAGTAATAAAAATAAATATAACGATGACGTCATAAAAAATCGCAATAACTCAATAAACCATTATCTATAAATCCGTTCCATGTAATAAACTCATACTGTTATTAATAATTTTACTATCAACTACTGACCTTTCCAGTTAATGAATAGAAAATATCGAAACAACAAAAATGATAAGCCGAGCATTATCTTTGTACGCGATTACTTTCACTGATTTCGTATGGATACTTTGTTATTTACTTTGTTGCTATGGCAACGGCCTTGATTTTCGGCATCAGGTTACTTTACACGGGCAAAAGATGTTACCTATGTGATGGATTTACGCAATTAGGAGCAAAGTATTTTGATACTTGTCTATAGACACATAAGACATATTTATGTATATTGGTGTAATTAATTTCTGTCGACACGTGTCAATATTTAAGTTTATTTTGTGGAAAACAAAAACAGTCTTAAATAATTATTTATATTTATTTGATAATAATCGTATTTTGAAGCCTATTCAAGTTTAGAACAGTAGTCCAACGTACTCTATTCTAACAAAAATCTTTAGTATTTTATTACTAACACTTTAATTTATTTTCAGTTCTATTGTTTAAAATAAATATTAATAAAAAACACTAAAGAAAACTTTGGCTGACTGGAGTTGTTCTGAGTTTGAAACTATCTTTCTACCTATAATGATTTATAAACTTATTCTTAATTGGCTACTGATTTTTATTTTTGAAATTTTTTCAGAGAATATTATTATACTAGTATTATTATACCAGTATTATTATAATATTCTATATATATATATATATGTCGGAGAAGCATTGTCATCGCTGACATTGTCATTAATGGTTGCAGGTTTAGTGGGCGTCATGAGGGTAGAATGCGAGCACAAAACACAATAATCACAATAAACACAATTTTTAATTTAGATGGTAACAATAGTTTTGTCTGTTTCACAATAACGCAAAAGAAAATCGATAATTAGGACTGAGCAGCGGGTTCAGGGCACCAATCTTACAGTTATTATATAAACGATCCAACTCGACCGATTTACTAATGCTCTCCGTTCCCGCCAAAAACTGTTCACCTTTTTATACGTAAGATGGCGCCTCGACCCCGCTCGAGGCACGTGCTCTGCTCTGATTGGTTACATAGGAAGTCAAATTCTAGTTTTAAAATTATAATAAAAAAAAAGAATAAAAATTAAATTAAGGCTATGAAATGTAACAAAACTATTTAAATTAATTTAACCTTTTTTTTAAAAGTGAATATAACACAAACAAAAAATAATGTGCGTAACAATCAACTGCAATGCAGGTAACAATCAACTCCCAGCTTCCTCCGACACGGCCGTCCTGACGTATTACACGTCCTCGTGTGATGTCGAAGGCCGTGCATCATCTGCAGGAGAGAAAGAAATTCTTCAAAATAAAGTTCGGCCACTCCTGACCAAGGAAATCGTGTACATTAATACAGTTTGTCTCCTACGCAATAACGCTTCAAAATTGCTTTAAATTGATGCCTCATAATAAGCAAAAGCCTTTCTTTCTTTACTTTTTAGTAGCGAAAAAGCCAACTCGCCATTTTCGCGTTTCGGATATTTAACAATATTTAACATGGCCATCTCACTAATGTTGTGCCGATTGCAATCTTCAACCGCCACCTCGATTTACAATGGCCACCTCGCCTTTCAACGGCCACCTCACCTTACAACGGCTACCTCGCCTTTTAATGGCCACCTCGCCTTCAATGGC